TAGTTCCTTCTTTTATTCCATTGTATGGATGTACCTCTGTTTGTTTGTTCATTCATGTATTGAAAGAATATTTGAATATAGTTTTTTGTGTGAACCTAAGTTTTCATTTCTCTGGGATCATAGTCCAGGAATACAGTTGCTGGGTTGAATAGTATGTGTATGTTTAATTTTTTTTTAATTTTAAAAAAGATTTTATTTATTAGAGAGAGCACAAGCGGGGAGGAGAGGGAGAAGCTCCCTCTGCAGGGAGCCCTACGTGGGGCTGGATCCCAGGACTCCAGGATCATGACCTGAGCTGAAAGCAGACAACCAACTGAGCCACCCAGGCACCCCTTTGTTTAATTTTATAAGAAACTGTTGAACCATTTTCCAGAGGGGGCTGTTTCGTTTTCCATTCCCACTAGCAATATATGAGCTACTTTCAGTACATCCTTGGCAGCATTTGGTACTGTCATTTTTTTTAAATTTTAGCCATTCCAGTAGATGTGTAGCAGTACTTCATCATGGTCTTAATTTGTGGTTCCCTGAATGGCTAATAATGATGGAATATCTTTACATGTGTTTGTCATTTCCATGTCTTCTTTGGTGATGTGTTAAAATCTTTTGTATATTTTCTAATTGGATTGTTTTCTTATTGTTGACTTTAGAGAGTTCCTTATATGTTCTGGATACAAGTCCTTTGTTGGGTATGTGACTTACAAATATTTTCTCTAAGCCTGTGGCTTTTCTTTTCATCCTCTTAACGGGCTCTTTCACCGACCAAACGTTTTCAATTTTTGTAAAGCTTAACTTATCAACTTTTTTATGATCTGTGCTCTTGTGTAATACCTAAGTACCTCCTAACCCCAGTCACAAAGATTTTTCTCCTATGTTGTCTTCTATTTTTTTTTTTTTTTAAGATTTTATTTATTTATTTGACAGAAACAGACAGCGAGAGCAGGAACACAAGCAGGGGGAGTGGGAGAGGGAGAAGCAGGCTTCCCGCTGAGCAGGGAGCCTGATGCAGGGCTCAATCCCAGGACCCTGGGATCATGACCTGAGCCGAAGGCAGCCGCTTAACGACGGAGCCACCCAGGCACCCTCCTATGTTGTCTTCTAAAAAGGGTTTTAGAGTTCTATGTTTTACACTTAGATCTATGGTTATTTTGAGTTAACTTTTAAGATACAGGTTTTTGTTTTGTTTTGGTTTTTTGGCTTATGGATGTCCAGTTGTTCCAGCACCATTTGTTGAAAGAACTGTCCTTCCTCCATTGAATTGCTTTTGCATTGTTGACAAAAATCAGCTGGTTGTACTCTAGTGGGTCTGTTTCTGGATTTTCTGTTTTGTTTTATTGATCTCTGTTTATCACTACAGTGGGTTTTAATTTAATTCCTCTTTTCTGGCCAAGCTATGACTGTTGCTTATCGGTAAACACATAAATGGTGGAAATTTGAAGTTTTGATTTTGGGAGATAACTCTAATACTAACATTGCACTATATCAGATAAATAGATTTTTTAAAGTTTGCTAGTTATTTGCCTCTGTAAAGAATAATTTCCATTTTTGTCACTGTGAATTTAGTTATGATGATAACTTTGTGTTTTCCATATATGTTAAACATTTAAATTTGAGTAGGTGAAGGAGCTTAAAAATATTTAATTTTTAAAATCAAAGTAATATATAGATATAGTTAAAAAATTAGAAAATGTGATGGACATAAAATGAAAAGACTGCATGACCACCCTCCCCACTCCAGAATCCTTTTCCCCAGAATAGGCCACACTCAGATCTCTTAGCTGTTGTTTCTCATTATTTGCCTCCTTATTCATAACTAATATGCTTTTACTGTTATTTGCTGATGTAGTAATTTTTAGCTATTTCTGTTGACTTCCTGCCTATTACAGAAGATGAGGATTTCACACTTAAATCTACTCCCACTTTTTTTTAGCATCTTCCCAATATAGTTACCTCACAATTTTTGGTTAAATCTTTATTTACTGTTTCTATTATGATGATTACATAAATATCGATAACTGTTGAGTTGAGTCATATACTATGAATACATGACCTTTCTTGAACGATTTTTTTTCCCAAAGTACATAGTTACCAAAAAATCGTTTATTTTCTATGTAGCTATCATTCATTCCTGCCAGATTCTCTTACGATATTGTAACCCTCCACAGAATAAGGTCAGACACATCAGGTGACCTGTTGCTCTCCGGTTTGCTTCCCGTGGAGGTCATGGGGCCGTCTAGACTCCTGTGCCAATCTAGAGCATGTGTCTACCCTGTCTTGTGTTGCCTCCTTTGCTTCTTGACTTCCTTATCATCATTTTTCTTGTTTTATTCCTTCACCTTGAAAGGATACATCTTCCAGTAGCTTCCAGAGAATGGGTCCATGGGAGGTTTTTTTTTTAGCTGTGGCAAGTCTAAAATATTGCCTTTATTGTACCTTTGTACTTAACTGGTAGCTTGGCTAGCTATAGAAATCTAGTTAAAATTATTTTTTATTAGTATTTTAAAGGCATTGCTTCCCTGTTATCTAGCTTCCAGTATTGTTGCTGAGAGGTTGAGAAACTATTCTTTAAAAAAATAAATAAATAAAAAAATTTATATATATATGAATATATATATGTGTATATATATGTGTGTGTGTGTATATATATATATGAATGACAGGAATAGAGGGGTAATAGGCCAAAACCCATGTATATACTGTCCATTTTCATTTCATTTTTAAAAAATTTTTATTACCTTTTTTTTTTTTTTTTTTTTTTTAAGTAATCTCTGTACCCAACATAGGGCTCAAACTCACAACCCTGAGATCAAGAATCACATGCTCTTCCGACTGAGCCAGCCAGGTGTCCCCATACTGTCAGTTTTCAGCAAATCTGTATATTTTCCACATGTGCTTCATCCCTTCCTTCTATTCCTTTCCCCTTTCCTGTTTGAGAAAGTATTTATTGATACTGCTAAAGCTCCTCTGATCCTTTCCTGATAACACTATGTAAAAGCATTCTTCTGAATTTGCTGTGTATTTTTCCTGTGTATGTTTTCATACTTACAGTAGCTATGAATATATCTATAATACTGTTTGCATGTTGTAAAAATCATATAAATGAAATCATACCATGTCTATTATTCTGTAGCACTTTTTTTAATATATATTTTTGAGATATGTCCATGTTGGTAATTGTAGCTCTTGTTAATTCACTTTCATTAGTGTAATGTACCCCATTATAAGATTATATTAAAAAACTTAATTCTAAATGGCTTAAAATGTATAAAATAGCTTTGAAATAAGTTATAAGAAGTAAGGCATTTATATATTGCAGAATATTTTTTTTTTAAAGATTTTATTTATTTATTCATGAAAGAGAGAGAGAGAGGCAGAGGCGGAGGGAGAAGCAGGCTCCCCGCGGAGCAGGGAGCCCAATGCGGGACTCGATCCCAGGACCCTGGGATCATGACCTGAGCTGAAGGCAGACGCTTAACCGACTGAGCCACCCAGGCGTCCCTTGCAGAATATTTTTATAATATTTCCTAATTAGGCTTAATTCCTTATTTAAGAAATTAAACCAAAATCAAGACTTACGGCTTGATATGGAGGATTAGTTGGAGCCAGCTGGTTTTGGGTCTCTGTCCCCTGAGTAGGGAAGAGGAAAGTAGTAGTGGTCTTGAGTTCAGGGGCAGGTGACAAGAAACCAGATCAGTATTTCATCCTCCTGTTCGGAAGACCAGCTGTCCATGTGCATTGGGGGAGCCTCATGTCTTTAGATAATTTAGCCTAAGCCAGTCCCATAGTTCCAAAGAGAACGTGGAAGGCGTGCTTCCAAATTCTGATGTTGGCTTCAATGTCTCTGGACTAAGGAGGGACAGACTTAAGAAAGTAAGTCACTAGTAATATAAATTCTCATCCAACCTGAGCTTCCTTTGGATATCGTTTGCTTTCATTGCAATGGTAATTTTTAACATAGTGTAATTTATTACTCATCTCACCGCCATTTTTTTATTGTCAGTGAGAGATTTTTCTTGAACTAATTTAGATAGAACATGATCTGGAACTAGGTTAAGTGTGATTTGATGAAGATAGTGATTCATATTTTAACTAAACTATTAGTTTTCCCCTTAGTGGCCAACCACAACAAATATTGAAGATGCTAATCATTTATTCACCTACTCTTTCCTTCAGCATATTATTTAGGGAATGCCTAAATATCTAGACATTGGGGATAGAAAGATGAATAAGAGGGGCCTGGGTGGTTGAGTCAGTTAAGTGTCTAGCTCTTGATTTTGTCTCGGGTCATGATCTCAGGGTCATTAGATTGATGCTGGGCTCCGGGCTGGGTGTGGAACCTGCTTCCGATTCTTCTTCTCCCTCCGTCCGTCTCTCCCTCCCTCGCCAAAAAAACCAAAAACCAAAAAAAACAACCCACAAAACCCCAAAAAACCAAATGCCGCATGGTTTAGGAGAAGAGGCATGCTGATAAATGCTGGTGTGCATGACAGCAGAACAAGAAGGACACGAAGTGACTGCTTTGGAACAGGGAGGCCATTCTCGTTCAGCATGTAACTCAGTTCAAGTCTCATTCTCCCCTGAGCATAGGTAGCCTGTGGTCATCACTTCAACTGCTTGCTCTTCTGAGCACATTCAAGACATCCAGTCTCTATTTATCACCATCGTTTATTGTAAAGGAGCCTCATTTTCAGACAATTTGTAATAAGTTGTCATTGTTAGGAATTTGCTTTGAGATGTATTCTTAGGCAGAGGTGTGCCCATTCAAAGATCTACAAGCATACACTTGGATTTTTGTGTGTGTTTTGGCTAAGACAGATTTAGCCCCATTTCTCTCCTTTATAACTCTGTATCTGGTGTCTAATATATTTAAAAATAAAGAGAAGTGTGATTTCCTTAAGTAAGTTTACAGTTTTTTTTTTTTTTTTTACACATTTATGCCAAAGATAGGAAAAATATGATGACTAATTGTGAACAAGTTTGAAATTTCTTTTCATTCTTTATAGGTTGTCTTGTGGAAATGAAGGCTTAAGGGCAAATTACCTACCAGATTAAAGATGGGATCGAACAGCAGCAGAATCGGTGATCTTCCTAAAAATGAGTACTTAAAAAAGTTATCGGGCACAGAATCTGTCTCTGAGAACGACCCGTTCTGGAATCAGCTTCTCTCGTTTTCTTTCCCCGCACCAACCAGCAGGTAAAAGATTACTTGGAGATTGAAAATTCATGTAGAAGGCCACATGAACTTGAGTGGTATGCTGATTTAAAAAAAAAAATGTTTTTAATGTTCTGTCTGTCCATCGATCCATCCTCTGTCATAGGTATGCGAGTAGGAAATACAGTTTTCTCTCTCCTTTCTTCCACCCAGCCATCTCCCTTCCCCAGAGATGACTCCTCATAGCAGTTTCTTTGCATTTTCTAGAGTAGTACGAGGTTACGTAAGCATGTATCTGTGTAGTTTTAGAAAATTATTTGAACACAAGTGCCATCCTACACATACCTTTTTCTTTTTCTGCTGCTGTCCTTGCTTTTTTCCCCCCACGGTTAAGTAAAATGTATCTTGTGTGTGTGTGTATGTATGTATGTGTGTGTGTATATATATATATATATATATATATATATATATATATATATTTGCTTATATGCAACTGTCTTATTCTTTTAAATGCTCGCAGAGTATCTGTAGAATATACTTAATCAGTTTTCTGTTTGTGGACGTTGTTTTTTAGGCTTTTGTTATAACAAATAATGCTGCATACATCATTTCCCATATGTACAAATACATCTCTAGTATAAATTCCCCAAAGTAAAATTGCTGGGTTAGAGTGTTCTGTTTTTTTTTTGTGTGTGTGTGTGTGTTTATAATTTTTGTAGATATTGCCAGACTATTACATGGAAGTCACACCAATTTATACTCCTATAGCAGAGTATGGGAAGCTCTGTTTTCCCCCATTTTTGTCAGTTTAATGCATTTTTAGACTCTTTGACCTATGCCAGTTTGATACATGAAAACCAGTATCTCATTTTTAACTTTGTATGTCTATCAGTTTTTATAGTAATGTAGAGTGACTAGAATATTGAATTCCCATATATTCAGTATCTACAGTGTAAAATTTTTATTTTTTT